CTGCTATATGCCAGGAACTTGACTGGGATGAAGTGTAATTTATACGGGTCACCTCCTCTAGTCCTCACAAACCCTATGAAAAAGATTCTCTTATCTCCATTTGAAAGGTAAGAAAACTGAGCTAGGAGAATTAAGTAATCGGCCACAGGTGACACGGAGGAGAAATGAAAAGTAACTAGGATTCAAATCCAGCTCTGCAGCTTCAATGCTCATGCTGAGGGGCTTACAGTTAGGACAAAAATCTGGAAATAATCCAAACGGAAACACAGGAATTGACTGAATCAATTACAGTATATCCGTATAAAGCAGTCATGGCAAAGGATGGTAAAGATCTCTTTTTATGGACAAGAAAAGATGTTAACATGTCCAATAAAAGGAAATTATAAAAACAATCTATGATCTCTTTTCACATATACATATAACTTTGTATGTATATTTGCATTTAAAAAGTTATCGGTGGTGGGATTTTACATAGGTTCTTCTTTTCGATTAATTTTTATTTTGTTGTTTTTATTATTCAAATATAATTGGTATACAATGTTACCTTAGTTTCAGGTGTACGACATAGTGATTCAACAATTCTGTACATTACTGGGTGCTCACCATGATAAGTGTAGTCACCATACATTATTACAATATTATTGACTGTATTCCCTATGCTGTGTTTTTCAATTCTGCAACTTATTTTACAACTGGAAGTTTGTACCTTTCATCTATTCTGCCTTTCCCCTCCTGCCCCTCTGCTCTGGCAACCACCCATTTATTCTCAGTATATAGGAATCTGTTTTGGGGATTTGTTCATTTGGTCTTCAGACTCCACATGTAAGTGAAATCCTATGTTATTTGTTTCTTGTTATTCACTTATAGTTGGTATACGATGAGCTTGTATTACCTGGACAGGTGGATGGATGGGTAGACAGACTGTGAGATACATAGATACATACAGTATACAAAGGGACACAGATAAAATTTAAAGATCAGAGGTTTAAAAAAGCAAGACTTGTCAGCACATCTGACATTTGAAAAGTTCCATTTAAACACTTTAATAATATGTAATCATCTGCAACATACTTGCAAAAACACAAAAATATCTATAAATCTGTTTCTACTTTTATAGGTATAGTCTATTATGTATAGGTGTACAGTTAGAGACAAAGAGATAATATACATATTGACAGAATGAAAGAATAATAATAATGCAAATGTAGCAAAATGGTAACTACCAAAGAATCTGCATAAAGGGTATATGGAAGTTCTTATGCCATGCTTTCAACTTTTATCTTAGTTTGAATTACTTCAAAATTAAAAAGTGTAAAGAAGACGTATTTTATATATAAAACACATACATCTGGTACAAGATGATACTAATTTTTAAAGAGACCCTACTTGACTATTTGCACTCCTTCTTGGCACTTAAAGCAAGAGCCCCAATGATCAATTTTTGAGTTCATCCTTTACAGTGCCTGTCACAGAGTAAGTTGGGATTTATCTGGTTGGGTCTTTAACAGAGCAGAGAAATATATGGGAAGCCTCCCATTTCGTTTCAAAAGGCCAGCACGATTTTGATAAGAGAATGTGACAAACCTAGCACACAAAAGTCGCAGACCAATCTGAATCATAAATATAGACACGAGTGTATGAAACGAAATAGCAGCCTATTCAACTTCAGCAATGTCTTAAAAGAAAAATAATAAACCATCCATAGGTAATATTTATTACAAGATTCTAAGGTTAATTCAGTGTAAGAAAATCTAGAGAGGTTAAAGAGATACTCCATCTGATTCTCTCCATAAATAGTGAAGACACCTTTTTCTTGAACAATGCCTTCTTGCAAACTAAGAGTAACAGAACACAATAAAGAATACCTATTCAAAAGAAAGAAAAATATAATTGGGGGTTGGAGGGGGGAATACTGAGGGCATTAGCCACCAAACGAGGAATAAGAAAACTATACCCATTATCAATGCTATTATTCAACTCTGTTCTGGAGGCTCTAGCCAATACAGTAAAAGAAATGGGAGAGACAGAAAGTATAATTATTTCTTAAGTTTATGATTACCTACCTAAAAAATTCCAAAGAAGCCACCAAAAAGCTATTAATTAATAAGCCCATTCTAATAAGGTCCCATATGGATATATCAAAGCTTTACAACAGGCATCAGGAGTTGGCAAACTTTTTCCATAACGGTCAGAGAGTAAATATTTTAGGGCTGCAGGTCACATGGTCATATGGTCTCTGTACCAACTATTCAATTCGGCCGCTGTAGTGCAAAAACAGCCTTTGACAACACATAAGTGAATGGAGATACTGTCTCCTAATGAAATTTTATTTATAAAAATAGGCAGTGGACTGGATTTGGCCCACAGGCCAGTTTGCTGACCTCTACTTCATACCTCAAAAAACAAACAAACAAACATAAAACAGTTGATGGAAAGGAGTTACCATTTAAAGCAGGAAGCAAATATATAAAGACCTAGAAATAACTTTCTAAGGGCAACTTGGCTGTATGCAAAAATTAAACTGTGAATACTCTTTCAACACAAATATCCATGTGTATTCGAAATGGAATTGTTACTATAGTGTTATGTATGTTTACTATAGTGTTAAAGCACGTGACACAGTAGTATTCATAATATTAGCTAAGTTTTTATTTAATTTTTTATTTTTAAATATAACTTATTGTCAACTTGGCTAATATATAGTGTATACAATGTGCTCTTGGTTTCAGGGGTAGATCCCTGAGATTCATCACTTACATACAATACCCAGTGCTCATCCAATAAGTGCCTCCTCAATGCCCAAAATCCATTATCCCCTCTTCCCCGCCACCACCCCCCCCATCAACCCTCAGTTTGTTCTCCATATGTAAGAGTCTCTTACAGTTTGCCTCCCTCCCTCTCTGTTTGAAACCATTCTTCCCCTTTCCTCGATGGTCTTTTGTTAAGTTTCTCAAGTTCCATATATGAGTGAAAACATATGACATCTGTCTTTCTCTGACTTATTTCATTTATTAGCTAAGTTTTTTTAAATATGAAATTTATTGTCAAATTGGTTTCCATACAATACCCAGTGCTCCTCCCAACAGGTGCCCTCCTCAATACCCATCACCCACCCTCCCCTCCCTCCTACCCCCCATCAACCCTCAGTTTGTTCTCAGTTTTTAAGAGTCTCTTATGTTTTGGCTTCCTTCCTCTCTAACCTTTTTTTTTTTTCCTTCCCCTCCCCCATGGTCTTCTGTTAAGTTTCTCAGGATCCATTAGCTAAGTTTTTAAATAGATGGGTGTGTACATGAGGTTTTGCATATATACCCACAAGTGGAAAAGAAAGAATCTGGAAAGATGTATACCCAATTACTTCATTAGTCATCATTTCTAGGGGTGGATTTATGAGCAACTTTCTTACTTTTTGCTTTTAATTTTTGTTCCTTTTTCTTTTCCCAGAAGAGCTTAGAAGTCAAATTCTTCATTTTTAAAAGAAGCAAGCAAAAAAAAAAAAACCCTTGTGCCGCTCTCAACAATTTAGTCTTATTTCTATGAATGCTCAAGGATCTCATATACAGTATCCTCCTAAAAAAGCATATCAGTACTGAATTTGATTTTTACATTAAGACATCCCCAGGAAGTGCTTTAAATTATTGTAACTGCTTCATGCCCTGAAGATAGAAACCTTCTGGCTCTAATTAACATATAAGGATCATCTATGGCAAATCTTATCTTTTTCTTGTCTTTCACTGTCATTTCTGCGTGCATGATTGTATGTGTGTCTATGCACACAACTGTGCACACATCTCTCTGTCTAGGAGGAAAAGCCAAAGAAAGGAAACAGGAAATAGGCAAGAATGGTAGGTGAAGGACCAACATAAGTTAATATTATACAGGAAAGTAAGTAAATTCATTTCTCAAGGTGTTATTTATCATTCTGTACTACAGGAACCTCACCTGTTGGGTTAGGGGATAAGTGACATTCTTGAAAATTCTCTTTTATTCTAGTTTATGAAAAGATAAAGCCCGCCTAAAAAATTTAAGTGTATATGATTTATACTTAGTTGTGAAACTTAAGCACATTTTTCCTTACTACTGACAACAGGTATCTAATTATTGTACCAATAGTGACGTGTTAAAATGTATATATAAATTGATACATTTCATTTTCATGTACTTAAAATATTGGGGAAATGGAGATCAAGTAGAAAGAAAAATGATGATTCTTATAATGTCTCAGAAATTCTAGGTCTTATATGGCATAACTCACAGTTATCAAGAGAGGAAAAAAACATACCTATCTTTGTCTTCTCAAAACAATTACCTTATCTAGCCTTGAAATCTCCCTACTTCCATCCCAAAGTGCCTTTCTCCAATAGCTCAGAATAAAAAAATAGATCTAATATGAAGAGAAGTACCTCTAGTAAAAGACTTTTCCAATTTTTGAAGTGTGTGTATGCATGCACACATAGCTATGTGTATGCACACATATGTGAGTATGTGTGTGTGAACCTGTTGTTGCTACAGAGGCCATGGGAGAAAATAAAGTCCCCCCAGAGCCAACTCAGAAGTTAATAGGAACAATATGGCCAACACAAGGTCATCCAGAGTTCTCAAAAGACAATGAGGTGTTAAGTACATCTTGTAGCCATGAAAATCCAGGACGCAAATGAGCAAGTGATGAAGTTTGCTCTGAACACAAGAGACAAATAAGTATATTGATATAAAATAACTTTCAATAACCATTCCTTTGCTCCCAGTCTCCATGAAATACTATTTACCCTTCAGCAGAACTTACTATTACCAAATGCAAATGTAATGAAGCCTGTGCGAAGGCTTGTGTATGAGGTGTGGGAGGATGAAATCCTACTATTTTCCTTTCAATATTTTGTTTTTAAAAACCTTGGAAATGAATTTAGTTAAAAAGTAAGCAGGCATGCTTCAAATCCAAAACTGTGTTTTTCTTGTCAAGTACTGCTCTCTAAAAAGTACATCACCAAACCCCAATAGAAACTTACCCTTCAACTTGAGGTCAACGTTATGTCTCAGCCAAGGGTAAACCCCATAGCTTGGCATATCTTCAGGAATTGGATTATTCTGTATCCAGCCATCACAAGCGAACCGGAAGAAATTATCACAAGGGTCCACAGAGAGATTTACCTTACTCAAGATAGCAGCAGCTATTTAAAAAGAAAATCATAGGATTAATGACAAGCACTGAACACTATGTACTATTCTCTTCCAAATTAAACAACAATTTCACATGAACCAGCTTCCAAGCCTTGGCTTTTACTTTTCCTCTCAAATGAGTCCCCAAATCAACTTCACGATATGAAATTACCATAATCAGATTGAGTAGGTAAAAGCTTGGTGGTATTTATGGTTTTTGCAGCACTGCCCCTAACATCTGTGGGCCATGGGACATGAATACAAACGGAGCCTTTGGTATACTGTCTGCAAAGATGTGTGCAACATTTCCTTCCATCCCTCTCCTCTTTTTGCAGCGTGATTTTGTGACTCATTCCATCAAGTGATAGGATCTACTTCCCCTGTCAGGAATCTAGGTTGGCCTTGTGACTTACTGTGACCACCAGAATATAGCAGAGTGACTGTTTTTGAGTTTCAAAGCTAGGCCTTAAAAGGGCCTTGTACCTTCCATGTTAATTCCCTTTGAATGGAGCCCTATGACAAAGCCTCCTAAAGGAGGTGAGGCCACACAGAAACTAACCAAATCAGCAGACTGAAGCCATCAGGAACCTTCCAGGCCAGATGACCCTCCAGCTGAATACAGCTGTATGAACGAGCGTAGGCAACAGCAACAGAGAAACTCCCAATGAACCCACGGAAGCATAAGAAATAGTAAATCACTCATGTTTCAGGACGCTAAGGTTTGGGGGTAGTTTGTTCCACAGTGAAGGCTAAGTGAAACAGAGGCCCACAGGTCATATCTAAATTTCTAAAAGATGTATTTACAATATACCTTCATAAAGACTTGGAAAGCCAGGTATGCATTCTTGAGCCCCTGGATATACAATGTAGCTCTCAGAGGAATGAACTCCTGGAAGAGATCCCCATGGGCCCTGCAGGGAGGCTCAGGGCCATTTAGCAGGGAATTCTGGGTTATAAAAGGATATGACTGCTGACTTGGCCCTGGATTCAGGGAGAGGCACGGCCAGAGGAAGGCAAAGTGGGGCAGTGTAAATGAGGGCAGGGCCCTTCTTGCCCAGGAAACAGGACAGAACTGAGTATTTGTGTTAACAGAAAGACACAATAGACTGATTTACCATTTCTTCCTCTTTCATAAGCCCACATACAATTACACGTGAAACATAGTCAATAGATAGGAAGTATGTGCATACTTAAATATGTATCCATGAGCTTTAAAAAAATCTTTCGTTAAAACATGAGAAGGTTCCAAAACTCCTAATACAGAACTCCAACTCTCTTCTGTCACACAGCTGCTGGCTACCACTCTAACACAAAGATATGCACTGATTTAAAACACAAAGTGGCCAATATTTCAATGACATTGGAAAGATGACATTCTGGGTAATTTTCATACTTTAATTAGTGGCAGAGTATATTTATTTGAACTAATAAAACCCAATGGGTTTTCAGCTAAATAAGAAGGAATTGCCCAAAAAAAAGAATAATCTGCATAAATTTATATATGCCAATTATCAGTTTGCTACATGTGTCCTCCAGGTTTAAACCTAAGGCTAGAGCAGCAATTTCTCAACACATCTCCAGAGGTAAGGGAAACAAAAACAAAAATGAACTACTGGGACCTCATCAAGATAAAAAGCTTCTGCACAGCCAAGGAAACAATCAGCAAAACTAAAAGGCCACTGACAGAATGGGAGGAGATATTTGCAAATGGCATATCAGATCAAGGGTTAGTATCCAAAATCTATAAAGAACTTAGCAAACTCCACACCCAAAAAACAAAAACTCCAGTGAAGAAATGGGCAAAAGACATGAATAGACACTTCTCCAAAGAAGACATCCAGATGACTAACAGACACATGAAAAAGCTCAACATCACTCATCAGCAGGGAAATACAAATCAAAACCACAGTGAGAATACCACCTCCCACCTGTCAGAATGGCTAACATGAACAACTCAG